AGTGGTCGATGCAAAAGGGAGGAGGGGAAAGTGGGGGGGGGTTGGGGAGAGATCCGGGGGTTTGAGTGTCCCGGGTTGCCCCCTATGCGGCCGAAGCGGAGGAGGGGGGGGGGGGAGCGCGGGGGGGGGGAGGGGGGAGAGAGCGCGCGGGTTGCAATCATCGCGCGGGGGAGGCAGGCGGGCAGGGAAGGGAAGCGGGGCAGAACTTTCCGCCCCTTCCTCGCCCGGCCTTGCTTCTTTCTCTCTCTCTTTTTTTTGCCTTGCCCGACCCCTTGCAAGTAATTCCGTGCTGCGTTGCCTACGTTGTAACTGGCTGGGGCTTTTGGAGGGGGGGGGCAGGATATGTTCTTTTTTTTTTTAAGGGAGGGGGCTTGCAAAGCCCTGGGGGAGAGAGAGAGAGAGAGAGAGAAAGAGAGAGAGAGAGAGAGGGAGAGAGAAAAAGGGCTGCTTGGGAGTTGTAGTCTTCCCGGCCTCTTAGGCTTGCAGGTGCAAAGCAGGCCGGTGACTACCTCTCCCGAGATGCCCCGCGAGCGGGTCTGCCGCGGGAGGCGTGTTGACAGGCGCCGCCGCCGGCCAATGGCGATCGCGTCTGCGTCTTTTTTTTTTTTTTCTCTTCCCCTAACTTCCTCCTCTTGCCTCCGCTTCGGCCAATGGCGGCCGGGGAGAAGGGTGGGGGGAGGAAAGGAAGGCGCTCGAGCGAGACCCACGTCAACCCCTTCCCCCGCAGGAGAGGTGGGGTCCCCGGACGCGCCGGCTAGGCGAGGCCGGGGATGCGAGGCCTAGCGCCAGGCCCGCGACGAGGCTCAAGTGGCTTTCCAGACTTTCCCTTCGGGGCTTTCCAAGGGCAGGGGAAGCCGGCCGGGTCGCCCTCCGGTTGGGGTGTGAGGGGAGAGACAAATAACTTGAATTTCCTGAGCAGCTCAAGTGGGGATAATAGTCGTCAAAGCACCCCCGTTATTGGGGTTCAAACTTTTTAGGGGGACTAAGGCAGGGGGGGGGGGGGAAACTGGCCAGGCCCATTGCTTATAGGGGGACCCCATTTGGTCCTCAGAAACCCTGGCCTGTCTCTTCCCCTTGGCTGCCTTCCCTGGCTGGACTAGGCTTAACCAGTTCAGGTGACGCTGGTTGTAGGCACCTGCAGGACAGGTAAGCGGCCAGGTGGCCAACCAGGAAGTGTCCGGCTTAGAGTCCTGCAGGCCTCAGGCCTTCCTTTCCAGCCCTTGGAAGTGGCCCAAGAGGGAAACCTCCACTGCCACCGTCCTCACGCTGTCACCCTTGCAAGGTGGGACAAAGCCCTGGTGCTGGCTTGATGGGACTAGCACCAAGGGTTTTGTAGTCCGGCTCTACGCCAGGCCCCTCCTATCCTGATCTCCCATGGGGGGCGGGGGGGGGGGTGTTGGCAGAATTGCAAAAGTACCAGGCTGTACAGGTAGTCCTCGATCTACTACCATAAGGGAGCCTCAAATTTTCCATGGGTAAAGTGAGGCCGCTTTGAATTTTCCTCCAGGTTGCGGCCTTGGGGGGTGGAGTGAATCCATTGCAGGGGTTCACGGTCGTAAAGTGAGTCTGGCCTCGACTTTGCTTTGTCGGGAGGTCGCAAAAGGGGACGGCACAAGCTCTGGGGGACACTGCCACCGTCATAAATTGGAATCGCTTGCCAAGCACACCTTGAATTGGGATCGCAACATTGAGGGTGTTGCAATGCTTTCAAGCCTGAAAACGTGTCATGTCACAAGTTGATTTTCGGGCCTTGTTGTAACTTCGACAGGCCACTAAACGAATGGTTGTAAGTCCAGGACTACTTTTGATTTGCATTTCCCTGGTTGGCACCTGCAAAAAACCGCAGCCAGGGTTCCAAAACAAAATTCTTCCCAACCTTTAGTGGTTTTCCAACATGCAGGGGAGTGTCAGAAACAGGTTTATTTTGGAACGAATAAGTAATTTAAGAGCTTAAAAAAAAAAAAAACCCTTCCTGGGAACCTTGGATAACTTTATTTTTCTTCTGGGATTCCTGCTGAATAGCAGATTTTAGGCTTGGGGAGTATTAAAGTGAAGCAGTGGATTTGAATCCAAGCCACAGATCCGGCCTTCCGTTGGTCGTTTTCCAGCCAAGGGATTTTGATCTATGGGGAAGAGTTTGGAGGGGCAGGAAAGGAAGTTATTTACAGGATGAAAAGGAAAGTGTTGTGTAAAGATGAAGCCATTTTTTATGGCAGAAGCGGACTATGATCTGTGAACTTTTATCAGGTGTGCAGAGCATATGTGGAGAATACACTGCCGAGGAAGGCAACAATAGAGAGCTGTTGTGGGGTGTGAAACACAAAGAGAAAGAGGGAGGGGTGAGAAAAGGCCTGGGGCAAAATTGCTTTAGAGAGGATGGTTTATAAACCAATCCAGGTTTCAGCGACGACGCAGGCACCATGGAGTTCAGAATCTGCAGGAAGTCCTTGGCTTAGGACCACAACAGAGTCCCAACATTTATGTTGGTAAGCAGGACAGTTAAGTAAGGTTTGCCTCATTTTACGACCTACCTTACCACAGTTGTAAAGGTGAATCACTGCAATTGTTAGGTTAAGTCATACAACTTGGCTTGTCAGAAGGTCGCAAAAGGGGACCAGGCATCCCCGTCATAAATAGGAGCCAGTCGGCAAGTGCCTGAATTTTGATCACATGGTTGTGAGGAGGCTGCAGCTGTACTAAGTGGGGAAAACCGTCATAAGTCACTTTTTTCCAGTGCTGTTGGAACTTCCAACGGTCACTAAATGAACCATTGTAAGTTAGACTTCCTGTATTCAGGCAGGCTGCTGGACCCAAAAGCTTGATCTTTTAACTCCCTGAGAAAGGACATTGAATCGAATCATTTGGGGCTCTGCTGTCTCCCTGATGACTTTTGTCTTTTATTGTGCTTTTTTCCTCAAAGGAACAGGCGCTTTTATAAGGTCCAGAGGGCTGAAAGTGCAATGAAAAACACAGCTTCAAGAATTCTCTATTGCAGAGATAGACGATTAACAGAGTTGGAAGGGACCTTGTAGGTCATCTAGTCCAACCCCCTGCCCAAGCAGGAGACCCTACACCATTTCTGACAAATGGCAGTCCAATCTCTTTTTGAAAATCTCAAGAGATGAAGCTCCCACAACGTCCAAAGAAAACTTCTATACCATGGGTGGATTGTTCTCCCTGTCACAAAATTTCTCCTTATTTCCAGGTTAAATCTCTTCTTTGTCACCTGGGGATTAATTTTCCCCAGGTCACAAAAAAAAACAGGAATTCTTGTGGAGAAGGCCAAACCAATAAAGCTGTGAAAATATATAGGCACCCATACATAAATTGGAAAAAAAAAAATTTGTTGCCTTTAAAGTAGAAGCAATGCACGTTATATGTACACTTATTTAATTTGATTTCTAATTTCCAATGGATCTTGTGCGGGCCGGATCGGGACTGCCGAAAGGGCCGGATGCAACCTGGGGACCATTAAAATATCCAGGTCAACTGTATCAAAACTTGGATTTAATGCAATGATGGGTCATGTTTCTGGAAGGCCTTGGGACATTGATTTCAGCCTCCCTGCGTTGTATGTCTTGTCTGTATGCTGGCTTACATTCGACGATTATGGCAAAGTGAGAAATATTATATATAGCAAGGTGAGAAAAATTATTTATTTATAGATATAGATAGATTTTGGAGAGGTCCAGAGGAGACAGGGAAGCAAGGATGCAGATGTTATTTGTGAAGTTCAGAAGAACATCTGGGCCCGTCTTATTACATACCAATCGGGGGCTTGCTTAACTCCATAATGGTTTGAAATGACTGTGAAGTGGCTGAGATGATGTTTCTCATCTGGGGATTTTCCAAACCTCAGATGGAGACACCGAATCTGGGACTTTTCTGCTTGCAGAATAACGGCTGTGCAACTATCATCCTTGCCCTAAAATAAAGTATACTTTATTTCCAAAAAGCAGGCCAAACTCAGAATTGTTTTAAACGCATTGCCATAAGCCATAATTCATTGGTTCGGTTTGAACTTAGCCTGTTAAAGGAGCCCAGCATTTTTTAGTCAGCAAGCCACGATTAAGCTGTGATGGTTTTGGGCCCTCTGTGGCATCAGTCTCTGATTGGTCCATGCTGTCGGGAGAATTCACAGGGAGTCCTGGTCTTCACGACCACAATTGAGCCGAAGATTTCCATTGCTAAGTGAGACAGCTGTTTAAGTGAGTTTTGCCCTGTTTTGTGACCTTTCTCGGCCCCGTTGTTGAGTGAATCACTGCAGTTCTTAAGTTAGTAACACGGTTGTTAAGTGAGGCTGTCTTCCCCATGGACTTCTGCATCTCGGAAAGTCGCAAAAGGGCATCACGTGACCTGCGACTGTCATAAATATGAGCCGGTTGGCAAGCGTCCGAATTTTGAT